GAAAAGATAAACGTGGATGTTAACACCCTCAGGGCACACAGGAATACGGCGAGCGAAGCGCCTTCTACACCTTCTACGCCTGAGAGGTATGAGGAGGCACTCTCGGAAACTCCTGCAACAGGCAGCAGAACGAGAGCAAAAAATAGAGTAGCACGGGCAACGGATGTCGAATCTGTGACTACTTACCAGTCGGAGGAAGCATCGAGACCGGGTGCACGAGCGGATGAAGATTTGGAGATTGTATCGGTGCAGGCGGGTACTGGACCTAGAAGGGGATCCACCTCCTCTTCCTCCGGGAAGATCAGGCCTCCCCCGAGAATTGGCCAGAAGAGAAAAAAGATACTGTCGTCTCCTGAGACGGATAAAGAGGAGGTGAGCCCGATCTCGAGTTTCTCTGATTCTCAGAGAAAAGAGCTGGCACACAAATTACAGGATATAGAGCTCCTCTCGTCAGCAGACATGGCAGCGGTGGCTATGGAATGGCTTAATGACATGGAGGAATGTCGCAAGATGTCAAGCAACATGAAAGGATCTATCACAAGAAAGATGAAGATCAACGTAGCTGCCCTTGCGGAAACAACAAAAATTCTTTCGATGAGAGCCTCACAGGAGGGGGATGTCGGCTTTCTGAGGTCCAAGCTCACAGACATGCAGAGTGAGATCAATGGCCTCAGAGAGGAGAACCAACGCTTGAAAGTTCAGATGGACGAAATTGCAAGCGGACTCCGTATAAGAGCGAGCCCTCCCGGGAATTCTGACCCCAGACCCGGGACCTCCTCAGCCCGGATGGAGATTTCGCCAGACCCCCCTCCGGGACTGGAAACGAATAGAAGCCGTGAAGCATCGGTACAATTGCAATCAGAGAACGTGGGCCGAAGAACGAACAGCAGGGAGACATCAAGACCTCGAGAAAGACCCTCGGGCACAATGGACGAGGAATTTCTCGACAGGCTAGGCAACATTATTAATGGTGCGGTGGCTAGCGCAATCTGGGCGCAACTCCCAGGTTCGAGGAGAACCGGCAGGAACAGGCGGGAGGAAACAAGAAATCCCCCAGCTAGGGAAGTTCCCCAAGAGGGGGAGGGCTGGGGATCTTCCTCAGTCGCCGTGGATTCCCAAGCGGCGGAAACCGGTGACGAAATACCGTTACCGCAAAGGAGAGAAAGCGCAAGAGGACAAAAAAATCAAACGCGAAGAACCCGTGGGAATACGCTGAGGGACCCAGCCGGAAACACCGCAGGATTAGTGAACAGGCCTGCTTACCAGGCGGATTACCCTCCTCTACCGGAGAGGGAGGATAGAAGAGAGATACCGCGATTAGTCCGCGATGCACAAGTTCCGCGGCAGGAGGAAAAAACACGGAGGGAGGTGAACCGCGGGCAGGAGAACAGAAGGGTAGCTAGGACCCCACGTGTGCGGGCTCCTAGGTCATCCGCGATTACAATTTCCTGCCCGGAGGGAATAACGTATTCCGAGGTCATACGAAAGGCCAGAAATGAAATCGCTCTCGACGAGCTCGGTATAAAGGAAACAAGGATGCGGAGTACGATGGGCGGCAGTGTCCTCATAGAAATACCGGGCGATAATACGTCACCGGCAGCAAACAATCTGGCGAAAAAACTGCAAGAGGCCTTTAAGGACACTAACGTCCAAATAAGAAGACCCATGATGAGGGGAGAGGTAAGGTTGGCCGGTCTGGATGCTTCCGTAACCACTGAAGAACTTATCGAGGCAGTTGCCAGGGCGGGTGGTTGTGAGGCGGCTAACGTCCGCCTAGGCTCATTCAGACTGGCAAGAAATGGAATGAGGACGGTCTGGCTGCAGTGCCCCCTGGAAGCGGCAACCAGACTTGCAGAAACTGGAAAGATTAGAGCTGGATGGTCCACGGCACTTGTAGCGCTGTTGAAAAGGAGGCCCCTCCAGTGCTTCAAGTGCTTTGCCACGGGTCACGTTAGGGATAACTGCCCAAGCGAAATTGATAGAGCTAACAACTGTTTCAACTGTGGCGAGCCTGGCCACACCATGAGGGAATGCGGTGGCCCACCGCGGTGCCCGCTGTGCAAAGAGAAGGGCCTGCGATACGACCACAGAGCGGGATCCGAGGTCTGTCCGCCATGCCCACCAAGAAGGACCCAGAGTGGGAGCCCAAGGCGCGGAAAAGTTCAGGCCAATCGGAGTAATGTGGCCGAAGAACAGAGGACTAAATAAATAAATGCCTGACAGCGTAAAGATCATTCAGGCTAATCTGAACAGATCAAGCGGGGCCCAAGACTTGCTGATTCAAACTATGCGAGAACAAGACTGCGGACTGGCCTGCATATCGGAGCCTCACAGAATACCAAACAATGCGAGATGGGCACGTTCCAGCGAACCAACCCCAATGGCGGCGATGCACTGGCCCGTAGGCGAAAGAACGGGCACCGCCTCGGTCCTGAAGACAGGGGACTGTTTTGTGGTGGCTTCTTGGGGAGGATTAGTTGTGGCATCATGTTACTTTTCGCCCAACAAGAGTATAAACCAATTCAGGATGTACCTGGCGGAGCTCGGAGATGCGGTAAGAGGGTACTTGAATCGCCCACTACTGATACTGGGGGATTTCAATGTCCGATCAAATGTCTGGGACAATACGCGTCCTACCGCGAGAGGAGATACAATTATGACGTGGGCTTCCGCAATGGACCTTCGGCTGATGAACAACAATTTCGAACCGACCTGCGTTAGGCCGCAGGGCAGGTCGGTTATCGATCTATCATGGGTATCCCCGGCGGCGTTTCGAATGATCGACCTATGGGAAGTGGCCACAGAAGAGGAGACCCTGTCCGATCACAGGTATATTTACCTACGCCTGAAAAGGGACAGGGGGCCAAGTGTAAACATCGCACGGGCAAGATCTGTAAGATGGAATAGGAAAAGTATGAAGCCTGACCTGCTTCAGGCAAGTGTTGCCACATTCCTCTGGCCTAGATCGGCTAATGACAGCCGCAGTGCGGAAGATCAGGCGAAACGACTGCAGATAATGATGACCGAGGCCTCGGACTTGGCCATGAAACGCCAAAGGCCCGGTCCCAAAAAGGCTGTCTATTGGTGGACGGAGGATATAGCGACCCTCAGGAAAAAATGTATCTCCCTTAGAAGGAGGGTCACCAGAGCCCATAGGAGGAATGGCGGTACAGCCCCGGCGCTGGAGGCAGAACTGTCGCAAGCCCGTAAGATCCTGAGGAGAGCGATAAGGACCGCGAAGAATTCGGCCTGGAGCGAACTTTTAGCAACGATTAACCGGGACCCTTGGGGACGTCCCTATAAAATCGTGCTGGACAAGCTGAGACCGTACATCAGGCCCATTTGTGAGACGCTCCCACTCACCAAGATCCAAGAAATAGTGACGGGCTTGTTCCCCCATATTGCTGAGGAACTAGTAGAGAGACCAAGACAAGCTGTTCTCTGGGAGGAGGAGTACTCCGTCTCTCGGGAGGAAGTGGAGAGGGCGGCCGCAAAATTCAAATCCGGCAAAGCCCCTGGACCGGATGGAATTGTGGCAGAGGCCATAAAAGTGGCCCTCCCAGCTTGCGCGGAGGAAGTGGCGAGGTGTTTTACCGACTGCCTTAAGGAGGGCGTGTTCCCGCGTTGCTGGAAGAAGGCCGGATTGGTCCTTCTGAAGAAACCAGGGAAACCGGAGTTCGAACCCTCTTCCTATAGACCCATCTGCCTGTTGAATGAAATGGGCAAGTTATTCGAGCGGGTCCTGGTGGGCAGGATCAGGGCCTGCCTGGCGGAGGGAATTGGTCTCTCCGAGTCGCAGTATGGCTTTAGGGCTATGCACTCAACTGTAGATGCGGTACTGCGCCTGAGAGAGTTCCTCGATCCTGTATACGAGGAGGGGCGTGTTGCGATAGCAGTCTCACTCGACATCTCAAACGCGTTTAATTCGCTGAGATGGGAAAAGATTAGGGAGGCCACGATCAGGAAGGAATTGCCAAACTATCTGAGAGCAATTGTGAGCGACTACTTGTCGGACCGATGGATCCGCTTTGAAGACTGCGAAGGCAGGAACAGGGAAGTTCAAATGACGTGTGGGGTCCCTCAGGGCTCGGCTTTTGGACCCGAGGGTTGGATTTTCACATACGACGCGATCCTGCAACAGGAGCTCGCTGAGGACTGCAGGACTATCTGCTACGCGGACGATACCCTCATAATGGCCTTAGGAGACAATCTGAGGGAGGCTATCGCTCGGGCGGAGTTTGCTGCAGCGGTAGTAATTAGACAGATCGAAAACCTGGGGTTGAAGATCTCCCCCTTGAAGACGGAGGTGTGTGCATTCTCACGGGCACGTCGCTTCGTGAGCGAAGAAGCGATTTGGATAAGGGGACAGTTGATCCCGGTTAAAACCGATTTTTAAGTACCTCGGGCTGGTGCTTAGCAGGAAGTTGGTCCTTCCGCGAACACTTTAAGCGACTACTACCCAAGGCTGAAAGAATGTCGCTGGCCCTAACGAGGTTAATGCCCAATCTGAGAGGACCAAGTGAGCCTGCGAGAAGGCTCTTCAGTGGGGTGGTTCACTCCGTGATATTTTACGGAG